ACAGGTATACTTGTCCGCCTCCTGTGTATACAATGAGACCAGAAATGGCCCACAGTGCATTGTTTGCAACTTTTGTTTTTACTGACGCCGATGAGGACATTCTAGCCATCCTCCTGGGCTAATTTCCTGGAAGGGTACCCAGTCCCGTGTCCTAACCCTAACCCTAACGCTTACCACAACCCAAACCTTAGCCCTAGACATAACTCTAATCCATACTGACCCAACTGTGAAAAACTCGGCGCCTCGGTGGGATTCGAAACCACGCAGTAAGGGGAAGGCTTTAGCGCAGCCAACGCTCTAACCACCTGAGCTACGAGGCCCCGCCGGACGACGCGAGTTTAATCACATTTGGGTCAAGTTACCCGCCCAACCTACTACAACTTCTGGAATCCACCAAATCTGATACAGTAAGTCCAAATCTGCCAAAATATCAATGAATTACGCGAGCCTGGTAGTCATCTGGTGGATTCTAGGTGAATTACTTAGGAAATCCTGCTTGGGCAGTCAACTTACTGTATCAGATTTGGTGGATTCCAGACGTTGCAGTAGGTTGGACGGGTAACTTGACCCAAATGTGATTAAACTCGCGTCGTCCGGCGGGGCCTCGTAGCTCAGGTGGTTAGAGCGTTGGCTGCGCTAAAGCCTTCCCCTTACTGCGTGGTTTCGAATCCCACCGAGGCGCCGAGTTTTTCACAGTTGGGTCAGTATGAATTAGTCAAAATCTGCCAAAATACCAATGAATAACTCTAATCACAATATTCCCAGAGCTTGGCGCAAGGTCGTTTGTATTGTGAAGGTCTCATATTCCTGTGTCCTGACCTCTGGATGGATAGAAGAACGGGATTTGCATAATATGATACTTTCAACTACTTGAAAGGTACGCAGTAGGTTTTCCTATTTCTGCAAGATAAATACGAATGAGCGCATATCTAATGAAAGTTAAAGATTACGCTACGGTTTTAGTAGGACACCAAACGAGATGCATTATCTGACGGCTCACCAGTACAGCTGCTCACCACAACGTGTGAGAACGCTGTATTACTTCATCGCTATAATATATTTTTAAAGCAACATTGTGACTTTAGACGGGAATCACAGGCAAGTATGCAACGTTTCTGAACAAACGTTAAGCCTCCTCTTGCCTACCACAGTTACAAAGCACTCAGTTATTCTAACGGTTTTTTCACAAACCCATAATGTCCTTCATTTACATTTTGGTTGCTTTTCTAATTCCGATGAGGTCTAAATTCTCCTGCCGACTTTTGTGGTGGTATAGCTGTCATATGAAATTGCTATGCAGTGGCTAACTGAGTTGTTGAAAACGGATTCCAGTTTTACCTTGATGCTTTTGTCTGGAGGCCTTGCACGCGCGGGAGCTGTCAGTAACAGGCAACAGAGGCAGAAACGGGACAGACTCCCTTGTCTTTATCAGTACGACGCCCTACGCATTGCGTTATCAAGTTGATTATCATTTACAAGCCATGATTGGCATGTTTTTTGCCGACAGGCTGCATCTATTTGTTTTAAGGAAGGCAATCAATGGAAAAACGTGTGAGTCGATCTTGCGTACCAAAATGCTTGTGCCTACTGGGCATGTTTATGGGGTCTGTCATGAAATCAGCTAAAACATTTGCGCCCTTTAAAACGTGCTTGCCAGCCATGTTCCTTTCGATAAACAGACGAAAATACATAAATACTCAAAAGCATTAGGTAGCTTTCTATGTTTTCCTCGACATAGGCAATGCACAATTTTAGGCCCAAATGAAAACAGATTTTTCATCTTCTATCGATATATAAAGTGAGTTCTTATGGTCCACTTTGATTACATTTGTTCCACTGAATTCCTGAAATTCATTTCTCAACCCCTCTCTTCTGTCTTCATTGTTTCTTGTGGGTGGGGATTGCGACGTGCAATCCGCTCCAGACATTCTGTCACTTACTGTAAGTGTCTTAGTACGCCAACTTAGTTTTGCCTGTGAAATTTTACTCCACGGTCGTCATCTGTACGTGGAAATGAGGGGAGTGGAGTCACATGTTTGCGTTCAACCATACGTAGTGTATCCGTACTGTAGTAGCCATTTTCTCACGTGCAGGTTTCTACTGGACTCACTTCCTCTTCACGGACACGAAAGCATATACCAGAATGCGCCCGCAGGCTGTACTTTAGGAAACACATACGCGCAATGAATCTTGTAGGTTTAGGCAGACAAAGGTACCTCTCCTTCTCTTGTGTCCTGATGAATGTCTGACGAAGAAGCTAGGAGCGCCTGTCTCCTCGAGCGCATTGAGAAGGCGGATGTGTTCACATTACGCGGAAGCGTAGGCGGAACGCCAGACCCATCCTGGAAGCATTAAATGTCTGTATAACATTGACAGCCTGATAATTTGCGCTTACTAATGGTAGATTTTACGACGAGTTGTTGTAGTTGTAAAAATTGCACCGGCTTCCAACGAAGGAGCCTTGAATAATTTTTCAAAAACTAGCCTGAAACCTTCCAAAGGAGATCGCTAACTTAAGGCCCTGCAGGTGTCAGATGGATGGTGAATAATGTCTGTTTTACTTCGAGTATCCTGGTGACCCAGTTGCACCTGGAAGCAAAGTACTTGTATGGTTTTCTCTCAGGTTGTGCTTGCTTAGCTGCGTTAAATACATTGACGCAGTCCTCACGGCCAGTCAAAATTGTCCTCGTTCTGAATCGGACAAGCCCTCAACTAAGCTATTTAAACGAAACGCTTTACGGGGACAAGAGGGGGTCCTTCAAAAATTAATCGTACACACCGTGCTGTAGGAGGTCCCAAAGTCTAGATTGGTTCTCACCGGAGCACCTCCACCGAAGATGCATCATTGACGGTTCCCAACCACGGAAAGAAGGACACCTGTGGACGCTTTTATTCCGATCAAAAATGAGAAACTAACGACATATGTTCTGCTTAGTTGTGAGATTTGATGCTTTTCCACAATCAAAGTTAGATTTCGTGTAACATCCCACGTAAAATGCTATTCGGTGGTTAAGGGGTCAGAAAAATGGCCAGTGCAGGCGCATTCAGAGGGGAAGACTAACATTATTTTTCGTCCATTAGACAATCACGTGATTGATTACCTCGTCAACCCATAGCAAAACATCACTTGACCTCAAACGGCTCGAGCTAGGCCATTTTGAGGGCAGATGTAGGCAGAAGGCCGCAAATCGATATTCACGCCAGAAAATGGCAACATGTCGACACCGACCACATGACATCTGGGGGTTAAGCGAGTGATGGGAGTGTCACATTTGACGCTCTACATTCTTACATTTTTTTGAAGGAAGTGGCAAATTAATAGCTACGCCTATTAGGGCCAACACCCCATTTAAGCGTTTCAGTGACTGCCTCAGCTTCGAATCCAGGGCAAGAAGGTTGTGACAGCCTGCGTTTCGGGCAGTCAAGAAGACGGTCTGCTGTTCGGAAGTTCAGGCAAATGATTCTGGCTTAGTAACTATAGGACTCAAATGAATACGTCAGTACGATGAGGATAATGGTAGTTGGGCGAAACCTCGCAGGACAGGCCGACAGTTGAGCCCGGCTTAAGCTGAGGCGGATTATGTGGTCTGACTCACGTTGGGGGGAGGGGGAGGAGGGAGGGGGGAAGGGGTGCAAAGAGCGAGGGCACAAGGGCATAAATATTATTGGCTGTTGATAATTCGGAGTTGTTGCTTCGTTGTTTTTCGTTTCCGCACCGTTCATGCGTTAGTTACTTTGGCCAATAGAGCTCGGACGCTGCGTGACACGATAAAAAATGTCCGGTTTGACAATTTCAGAGGTGTCCTGGACGTGCCGAGGGTAGAACTTGGGCGGAAACTTGCGAACTATTAAATTTTTGTTTCCGGATAAGCAGCATCTGTCAACAAACCGGCGACTGGGTACCCCAAAAGGCCCGCTGTAAATCTGTTTGCACGTTGTTTCAGCAAACTGAATGCGAATCATAAGGCATCACTCCTAAGCTTGCAGTGGCTCTCACGACCATTGTCGAGTTTAGCTAGGAGTTCATTCATATTCTTCACCTCCATTTTCTATCAAGTTCAAGGTTAGGCAGTAGACGGCTTTTAGGATTGTTTTTTAAACTTTGTGGCCTTTACGTTTCAGACTTAAATTAGTGACAGCAGAAGAAAGTGAGGTAACAGATGAACAATACGTCTGTTTCACAATCCGCGCTTGACGAGGTTCGGGTCTGCAGCCCCACTTGTTTGACACCATATGGTTAACTTACCAAAACAAGTTTATTAAACATATCTAACTTAGCCACTCGCTGGATTAGGAAGGTAAAGAGAATGCAAGCAGAGCTCAAAGCACGCGCGGGAAAGCGAGTGAAGGTGGCGTGTACACACTCTCCCCCCGACACAGTCACTCGGTGGTGTGCTAATTGTATGGTGGCCGACATTCGCGTCGTTAATTGCTGTAATTTCATCACGTGCGTTGGGTGTTGGTGTGATGATTGTTCGACCATCTGATCCACCGACCCTGGAGATGGGAAAAGTGTTCACTTGTGCGTTCCACGCGTGGTTAATTACTCCGCCTTGATGAAGTCTCAGCACCAAGTATGGAAAGGGAAGTTCATTGCCCTTGTTAATAGACCGGGGGCCAGTAAACCATGATTCAAGCAGCTACCGGCTCACGAGGTTTTCACCCCTTGCGAGAATTTCGGCCTCGTCGAATTTGAAAGGGTGGTCGGATCTCGTCGAATGAGCCACAACTTGAAAGCTGGCGTCATTTCTCCGCACCGCTGCAGGGTGTTCGGCCATTCTCGTTCGGAATTGTCTTTTGGTTTCTCCGACGTAGCTGTTTTGTCCGCAATTGCACCAGATCTGATAAACGATTCCAGACGTTTCTAGCCGTGACCGCGGGTCTTTCGGTTTCAACACCCAACGCAAGTGATGAAAGTGCAGCAATTAACGACGCGAATGTCGGCCACCATACAATTAGCACACCGAGGGTGACGATCCCGGGTGAAGGGGGAGCCGTGAATGTCCATAGGTATGCGGTAGCATGGCGACTGCATCCTATAAATACTGCAGCCCCTTGTGCATGAACCACCCGTATCTGCTTTTGTCCCCAAGGATGGGTTCGAGCAGGAATCCGAAACGTCAGGCTAATAAAGCTCTTGTCTCAACGATCGTGTCTCCTTCTGCAGGAGAAGTGTTAGGAGATGCGGACCCACCTCTACTCTACCTTCATGGGAATGACGAAAGCCGTCGACATGGTGGATCGCGAAGAAATGAGGAAAATTATGCAGAAATTCGACTGCCCCGAACGATTCACTCAGGCGGTGCTTCAGCTCCACAGTGACATGATGGCGCGAGTCACGGGCAATGACGCTGTCTCATAGACATCTGCAGTTAGCAAGGGAGTGAAGCAGGACTGCTTCCTCCCACCTACCGCCTTCGGTCTCATGTTCTCTGCCATGCTGATGGGTGCATACCGTGACGAACGCCCCGGGACCCGCGTCGTCTACAGGACGGACGGCCAACTCCTCAATTAGCGACGGATACACTTCCAGTCGCGTATATCCACAGCCAACGTCCACGAACTTCTCTTCGCCGACGACTGCAACAACTGCGGCCTGGTCATCGATATGGAGAAGACGGCGGTTATGCATCAACCGCCACCCGACTCTGCATACGTCACACCCCAAATCAACGTGTACGGCGCCAAAATGCAAGTCGTGGACAAGGTCACCTACCTGGGCAGCATGCTCTCCCGCCCCACCAAGATCGACGATGAAGTGGCCCGTCGGATCTCCAAAGCCAGCCAAGCCTTCGGTCGTCTGCAAAGCACAGTCTGGAATCGCCACATTTTCCACCTCAACACCAAACTGAAAATGTACAAGGTGGTCATCCTGTCGATGCTGCTGTATGGGACGGAGACCTGGATGGTCTAACAGAAGCAAGCGCGGAGACTCAATCACTTTCACATCAGCTGACTCCGATGGATATTGTAATTGAGCTGGTAGGGCCGGATCTCAGACACGGACGTACTGGAGAGGACGAGAATCCTTAGCATCTACACCATCAGCCAGTGGAAGCGAAGAGACGAGTCTCAGGAAGCAGTCTTGAAGAAGGAGACACGGTCGCTGGGACAAGAGCTTTATTAGCCTGACGTTTCGGGTTCCTGCTCGAACCCATCATCAGAGACAGAAGCCGATACCTGTGGCTTATGCATAAGGGGCTGCAGTATTCATAGTATGCAGTGGCCATGCTACCGCCTACCTATGAACGGGGCCGACGTGAATTTTCATAGGTGTGCGGTAGCATGGCAACTGTATCCTATAAACACTGCAGCTCCTTGTGTATAGACTACCCCTACTTGTTTTTGTCTCTGATGATGGGTTATGGCAAGAATCCGAAACACCAAGCGAATAAAACTCTTGTCCCAGTGATCGTGTCTCTCTCGTCAGGAGTGTGGTATGTTGCACCCTTTTTGCCAGTATTTGAAATCTTGCATGCCTCTCTCTCTCTCAAGTGCTTTTAATTCTGCTCCCCGTTGTTGGGAAGGAGATAGTGCGGCCGATGCAGCGCAAATCCGCTGTCACTTTAAACTAACTCACGTGCATGTCACCGTTCCCGCTCTCGCCCTTCTGTGGAGCACACGGTGGACATCGTCAGTCACGGCGGTCGAGCGGTCGACACTCACTCGTTGATGGTCGAGACATCGTAAGGGGAGACCCAGCACTACCTGGCGATGAGCTCACTTTCCGGACCAAGTTAGCCTTCTGATAATCATCGGCCGCTGGTGGGGAAAACAGGCGTGGCAGTCTATAACAAGAAAACTGTGAGGAAAATCGTCATTTCTGGAAGGACGCCGGGAAAAATGCTAAGAAAATGGGAATGATATGAAAGAAACGTTGCAGAAGTCTTTTTTTTTCAATTATTCTCATGTGAAACTAGTCGAAGAGTGTTTGTTACTTCATTAGTGTTGAAAATTAAGCCAGAGAACTTAGTTAAAAAGCTGAGCCATGCAGTTTTCAAACGACACAGGGTTTGCTGCCTTGATAGAAACGTAAAATTCAAGAAGTCCACACAGAGAAAAAACCAGTGGCGATAAAATAAATGGCAAACAGTGAAAACTGGCGTGTCTTTCTGATGTTTTGAAAAATTCGGAATATTTCATTTCAACAGAACTGCGAAAAGCTCGGCGAACCGACCTACGATGCTCCGCCAGGAGTCGCGAGTTTAATCACACTTGGTGGCTAGATCGACGGCTGTACTCAAATCTTTTCCTCACTGTGGTGGATTTGAGTCCCACCGAGGTCGTCGAGCTTTTCACGGGTGGGTCAAAATGAAATCTTTCTGAATCGCTGAAGAATGTAAACTCAGTTAACACTTTTAACGCTGTTGAAACAGGGCAGTTTTATCATACCACCTGGGTAATTTCCTGACCGACAGGCACGTAAACAGTCGGTGTGACAAACTATCGCGCTGCTTCTCAAACCTGACCGTAAACAGTGCACGGGAGCCATTAGTTGTTTGCAACTGTGATTAAACTCAATGCATGGGGGAGGGCGAGAGAGAGGGAAAGTATACCCGTAAAACTATGCTGAAAAGAACGCGTGGAAAATCCCTATGGTTTCTACAAGGGGCCATTAAGGTTAGACTCGGAACTACAACACTCTCAAGAAAACTTATTTTGTCCTTGATTATTTGTGCAAAAAACCTCCATCTAGCTTTGCATGAAGGTGGTCAGATGTGGCAGAGAGACACTGGAATCATTAAAACTCTGAATGTATCGCGGGTGGTTGTCAAAATGCGGCTCTAAACCAAATGAACGGACTGCATTGAAGATTACTTTTTTACTTGCCGTACAGCTTTCGCCGATGTTTGATGGCATTCAATCTGTATGAAGACAAATAGTTCTGGATATGCAGCACGTCAAAAATCCAAAAGTTCGGAGTCGTAAGTGATTCTTCCTTTTTGTCTACATAGTAATCGACGTATCGATATAGTATCGGCATACATAGACCCGCACAAGCACTCCAACCCTACGTCACTGATCGCTAATCGAAAAATACTTCCCGTATAACTATCGTCTATTCTGTTGCTGCTTTTATCTTTGACGGTGGACCCCTGAACGAGTTCGAAAGCTCAGACAAATAAAGGAATGCTTCCGGTGTTCGATCAGTCTTTCTCTTCCTTACTCGAACATTCGACCCAAATAGAGTAATCTCTATCGATGTGTGTACACATTCTTCGGTTGAAATATCGGGGAAATTAGTCCCTTTAGCTTGCTTACCTGCAGTCCGAGTCTGTTATCGGGGTTTCTATGCACTCAGACATGTGTTTGGCAGGTTCTGTCATCATCACATATGTTAACAGTTATGTCACACCTGACGGGAAAATGGTCTCTCCGCTGGCGTTAGAGTCGGCAAAGGCAACGGCGCAAAATTCCTTTTCGTGCAACCACTTTGCTGTCTTCTGATGCGGTAACTCCCGCATATTTATAATAGGACGAGCTGTAATGCCTCTGTTGTTCAATTTCTTCTGACCTCACAATCGAGAGATGCCCAGATTCCAGGCGTCCGAAATCCTATACAGACAGTCCATTAACTCCATATCCACACTGTTTTTTATGATATTTTTCTCACTCCAGTATTCCAACTTTACTTTAATCTGATGATATAAGAATCGGTCGAACACACTTTCCTTTAAAAACAGTGCAAATGCGATTCCGAGGTGGCATATCAAAAGAATAAGGGGTGTTCACCGGGAGAGGCTTGTTGGAGGTCTGACGTTTCGAGTACCCGTTTTCAGAGACTAGAATGTCATGTGAACAGGTCTCATTACAATGACGCACTTTGTTTGATGTGCAGTCCGCCAATGCCACCTGTGTGGCCGCATCCGACCCACATTTCACCGTCAGCTATGTCGCCCCACCCTCGTTCACCGCAAAGGTAAGTAGAGACCTCGGTTATTCTGTGCCGTGACTGTCCGCCGCCAAGAAGGTTTGTAAAACCAGCGAGGGAGGGAATAAATAAATGTGGCCGTTGACAGAACAGTCGGTGGAAATCCAGGCTTATTGCATCTGCCTTGCCGTATGATCATTGCCTCGGCCAACGATCTCAGCACGTAAAATTCGAAGATGTGCCCTATTTTCGCGACATGGGTTGTTGCACCCGACTTCGGGTCCAACCTTCGCACGGCCAACTGATGCTCATGCTTTCGTGTTCCCAGTCATCAGCTAGTTTTTTCTAACGTAGTTACACGTCCCGTAGGTGCATGGAAGCTGATATACAACGGCCAACTTCTCTTGTTTAAGAGTAGGGTCTTTTGGCCGCACCACCTGCCGACCACACAGGCAACATTGGCAGGCTGCACATCAAACAATGTGCGCCGTATAATAAGAGTTGTGCACATGACTTTCTAGTCTCTGAAGATGGGTAGGCGAAATAAATACTCGAAACGTCAGACCTCCGATAAACCTCACTCGGTGAACGCCTCCTCATCTTGAAAAAGGAGACGCGATCTCTGCGACAACAGCTTTATTAGCCTGACATTTCGGATTCCTACTCGATTCCATCATCAGAGACAAAAAAGCAGAAACGGGTGGTTGCTGCACAAGGAGCTGCAGTATTTATAGGACACAGTCGCCATGCTACCGCATACCTATGAAAATTCACGACTCCCCCCCCCCCCTCCTTTATCAGGGATCGTTGCCCTTGGTGTGCTAATTGTTTGATGACCGACATTGGCGTCGTTAATTGCTGCAATTTCATCACGTGCGTTGGATGTTGACGTGATGATGGCTCGACCATCTGACGCACTGACCCCGGTGTTGGGAAAAGTGTTCACATCTGCCCTCCCCGCGTGGCTGATTACTCAGCCTAGGCGAAGTTTCAGCACCGAGTATGGAACGGAAAGATCATTGCACTTGTTAATGGACCGGGGGCCAGGAAACCATGATTCAAGTAGCTCCCGGCTCACGCGGTTGTCACCTTTTGCGATAATTTCGGCCTCGTCGAATTTGAATGTGCGGCCGGATCTCGTCGAATGAGTAGCAACTTGAGTGCTAGCGTCATTTCTCCGTACCGCTGCAGCGTGTTCGGCCATTCTCGTTCGGAGCCATCTTCCGATTTCTCCAACGTAGTTGTTTTGTCCGCAACTGAACCAGATCCGACAAACGACTCCGGACGTTTCTTGCCGTGGCAGCGGGTCTTTCGGTTTCATTACCTGACGCCTGATGGTTGCCTTCGTTCTGTGTGCAAATCAAACTTGCCGCCAGTTCATTAAAAAGGGCAATGATCTTCCCCTTCCATACTCGGTGCTGAAACTTCGCCTAGGCGGATTAATTAGCCACGCGGGGAGCGCAGATGTGAACACTTTTCCCAACACCAGGGTCAGTGCGTCAGATGGTCGAGCCATCACCACACCAACATCCAACGCACGTGGTGAAATTGCAGCAATTAACAACGTGAATGTCAACCATCAAACAGTCATCACACCAATTGCAACGATCCCTGATGAAGGTGGGGGGGAGTCGTGAATTGTCATAGATATACGGTAGCATGGCTACTGCATCCTATAAATACTGCAGACCCTTATGCCTGAACCATCCGTATTTGCTTTCATCTCTGATGATGGATTCGAGCAGGAATCCGAAGCGTCAGGCTAATAAGGCTGTTGTCCCATATGTCGTGTCTCCTTCTTCAAGACTGCTTCCTGGGACTCGTCTCTTTGCTTCTATTGGCCTCCTCTTCTTCTGATACTGTCCTTCCTCTCCATTCAGAATCTCTCGTTCGACCTCGTTGTCAAAGTTTTCGTAGTTCGTTATAACCCTCAGGATTTGTCTGTGTGCAAGCTTGTATGAAGTTCGGGCGCATTCTGCTGGTGCCAAGCCGTGTGTGAAGTGCTTATGCGTGCTGTCTATTTTTGTTGGTCGCCGAGCTCA